GGGGCGGGAGCAGGAGCCAGTGCTGGGGAGAGCTGGTTTAAAAGCTGGTTCCCCCCAGCACCATCTCCATGAGGGGCAGAGCAGGCAGGGAGTAGTGGGGACCAGGCATGAGCCGGGAATCAGCTGATTCCCAGCTTGCACCAGGTTCCCTCAACTACGCTTTAGCCTTTTAAATGTATTAAGAGCCTGTCAGGGGAGTTAATCTCACTGCGGCTCCCCTGCTTATCAACTAATCGACTAGTCGATGGAAATTCCTTAAACTAGTTGATTAGATGACTAAACTAAATTTAACATGCCTAGTTTGACATGAGAGCTCCCAGCTACCCTGTTCTTCATGCAGAAATGATTGCGACCAGGAAGACAACCTTCATTGACAGCTGTAATAGGAAGCAGGTGGCTAAAGGCTCGTAGGACTTGCCCATAAGAGTTCTGAGAATGAGACTCAGGTCCCATGCAGGTGTTGGGTCTTTTAGTGGCAGAAACATATTGTGTAGGCCCGGTAGGAATTGTTTGATGGATGGGTGAGTAAAAGCAGAATACCCTATAGAAGAGGATGGAGAGATGAGATGGCAGCAAGATGTATCCTGATAGAGCTCAAGGATAGACCCATGCGGTGCAGGTCTAAGAGGTAGTGTAATATCTGTGAGACCTCCATATCTGCCAGAGTGCAGTTATGGTCCACGCACCAAACTGGGAACAAGTGCCATTTCTGTTTGGATGTTTTTCTGGTCTGTGGCAATTCATGGGGATCTGCTGTACTGGTGGCAACCAGCTAGCATCCACCCATGAAGATGTAGCATCTGTATGGTGGGATGGTATCTGTCCGTTGCATTGTGAAAAATGATGAGGCAGCATTATGCTCATCTGTAAGAGGTATGGGTACCAAGTTGTCTGGGCCAGTTGGGAGCTACGAGGATTACCATTGGTCAGGGAAGACCAGAGTTCAGCGGTTATCTGCAGAGTTCATCTTCCATCCTGAGGCGCTCAAGGATGCTGGTCATCTGCACTCTGCCGTCGCTTTGCTGGCCGCCTACCAGCTGCTCCCATTAGCTGACTACCAGCCATTCCTGCCAGCCACCTGCTGGCCGATC